AATCCTTTTGCTACCAGTGCTGCCACCAAAACTACCAGTACCAGTGCCACCAGACACCGTAGGGTCCATGCAGGCCGTTCATGGCCGTCTCACCTTTAGCAAGCCAATGTAAATGTGTGGGGCCACGGCAGAAGTGCAAGCCACTTTCGGGCATTGATCATTTCAAAATGAGAGGGTTGGCATAGACAGCGGCTGTTGCGATTTCGATGCAGGAAGTTCAAGCGCAAATTAGGCCTGGCTGTTTCGGTAGTGCCAAAATCCGAGGCTTGCCGAAAATAGTCATCAACGCCATGTCTCACAAGGGCATAGGCATGTCGGCAAGGCAAAAGCGTGCATCAACACGGGGTTGGGTGCTTTTGATGGGACTCTTGTGGACTGAAGAAGAGAGCTCGCAGAATGGGAGACGTGGCTCCGCCTCAGCACAGCTTCATCTCACTTCTTTCAGGACGTCACTTGCCTTTCTGTGTCTTCTTGTCTGGAGGTTTCTGCCGGCATCTGCCAGGTGTGGATGCTATTGGCATCCCGCGCCTGCCGATACGCGACCATGATCGGGAAGGCCGACATGATTCTTCAGTTGAACGTGGCAAACTCATAGAGCGAAGCTGAGATCCGGTACAAGGGCGCAGGCTAAGACTCAGGTCCAAGCGTTCTCTTGCTTGGCATCTATGATAATCGTGATGATGATGATGACTACGATTGTTGCAGTTGTCAGGGGCAGCATGTCATATCTTAAGTCAGTAAGTGATGATCATCATACGATCTAGTATATTCGTGGGGTCACTACCTATTACTTTGCATGTATGCTGCCACCCAAGACAGGATGCACGGCATTCAGTATGGCAGTCTTAGCATGCTAGGCTCGAGCCCCTGGCTCAAGCCTTGCATTGTGGTACGACTATTGCAGTTATGTATTCTACTATCCACAGAAGGCATTGTAAGATGTGTCATTTGGCGCGGAGAAATCACATAAAAGCAGCACGAGGCCTCCTTGGCAACGGAGGTGGCGTCTCTGCGCGCAACATTGACAGATGCGCCGCCTGCTGTCCGCCGCGACCAAACCAGATGGAGCTCATGTCAGGCAGTCCCGGCGCCTTCTGCTGCTGCTTGGGGTGGTGCAGCTGTCTCTTCAGGATGAGCTGAGGGAGCGGCCTTTCGTGGGCTTGGCAGACCGTCTGCAGCTCCGCCGCAAAACCTGCCCGGCGACAGCGCTGAGTGCCTCCCGGCGAGATGTGCTTTTGGGCACGGGCGTCGGCCTTGCGACCGACACAAAGCCCGTCTGCGAAGTGCCGATGAGGCGTTTAAGTCGGGTAGAGGGTCAAGTTGGGGGTCAGTTTGTGAGCATCAGCCCCACGATCCAGGGCGAGGCTGTTGACCTGATGCTCGACAGTGGCCTTAGCGAAGCTCTTGTAACGCCCGACCTGGCAAAACGACTCCGGCTGCGTTCTCTAGGCTCTGCCCAGGGTGAGGCTGCGGGGGGAGGCGAGACAGTCCAGGTGGTGGAGGTTGTGGACCTGAGTCTCGGCTGTGGTGAGAAGTTGCCCTCGCTAGAGGCGGCCGTGACGAGCTTTCCGCAGCAGGCGGTGGACAAGAACGTGCCCATCAGCGGTATGCTGGGTTTCCAGGCCTTCAGAGGCTATGACGCAGAGTTCGACTTTGCTGCTGGCAAGCTTCGGCTCTGGCGACCTGGCGCAGGCGTTGCGATGGCCCGAGCTCAAGGGATGCGAGAAGTTCAGGGCGTAGTGCTGCCAGAGCTGGGCATTCTCGGGGTCCGGGTGATGCAGCCGGGAAGCAATGGCGCCGCGGCTGCGCTGGGCATCATTGATACCGGGGCGGCATTCTCCGCTATGAACGCACCAGCTGCAAAAAATCTCGGTGTTTCGCCGGAGAAATCGGTGGAGATTATGGTTATAGGAGTGGATGGTCGGCCCCTCAAGCTTCCACTTGCCAAGAAGGTGTTGCTGCCACTGGGAGGCTCGCCACGTGAGGGCGGGGGATGGGAGACGGCCGTGTCTCTAGCAACAGATACGGTTGCCGTGGGTAACATGCCGGCGCTGACTGCATTCGTGGGCGATGAGTCCAAGCCGTGCGTCCTTCTTGGATTAGATGTGCTTTCCCAGCGCCGCATCCTCTTCGCAGCAGGCGATGCCCCTCAGAAGCTATTGTTTGTGGACACGGCATAGGTGTTGAATACGGACTGACATGCCGCGGTCGACTGTGTGGCCGCGTATACGACGAGGTCTCTACTCGGACATTTCCGTCTCGTTTCCAGTACCGATGACTTGGGTGCGTAATCTGTGTCCCATGCTGCATCATGCGGGGCGTGCGAAAATGCTTCAATGTCATCAGGCTACAGAAGCCACCGTGTAAAGACCCCATTGCATTCGGAATTTTTGCGCTGCCGCGAGTCCGCGGATATTCATGGTCCAGGCCAGCTGCAAGATTCCGAAGCCATACCGAAGCCTCGCAGGAATCAGTCTTGTCACTTGTCAGAAGTCTTGTCGCCCATGATGCATTCTCTCTTCGTGGCCAGGCCCTGCGCATCCCGGAAATGGAGAGGATTCTGCGGAATCTAGGCTTGTCTGCGGTGAGCCTTTCCAGCCTGAGGGCACGACCGATTCCCGTCTTTGCGCCAGGCACTCTCCAACAGCCCTGGAACTGCCCGCACGGGCGGCCGACAATGCGGCACCTCGTCGACACGAGCAGCGCAAAGAAGGCGCCGCGGATCGCCGCAAGAAGGCCCGCGTTTAGCAGCTCTGGGCAGGCGCCGTTACGGCCTCGCAGACCGCTCTTTGCAGGGCTCCCGGAGGCTCGGCGGGATCCTACGAACCAGCTCGGTGCTCGTGGTGCGTCAACGCAGCAGCCTGCAGCATCGCCCCAAATGAGCCCGAATGCTCACAAGAAGGTCTCGGGTCCAGTTGCACTCCTGGCGTATAGCCGTTAGTAAGCTTTGTACCCGACACGCACAGCAGCGGGCTGCGACGGGATGAAAGCTACATTTATTAAGATTAAACGGGCCGGGACCGTGCTTCCTTGTGCCCATGGCATCCCCCAGCAGACATAGCGCCTGCAAAGTTATCGGGCCATCGCGCCATGCCTGCCACGCCGCGGCGAGCGGCGGCGGTGATGGCGGCCGCGGCTGCCCGGATCGGCCGGGGAGGCAGGGAAAGCAACGGCCCGGGTTCACAGCCGCTAGCCTTCAGAACGTGCGAGCGAGAAAGCCAACCGCCGTTTGTGTCTTTGGGTTGTCGAGTCGAGTCCCTTTCTATTCAGCTCTTCAGTGGAGAGCCGTCAACAGTCGCGAAGCACCGCAGGACTCTCCGAGTGCTTCACAGCTCGGCCGCCAATCGTGCCTCCTCTCACACGAGCATGATGCAGCATCCTCTGACATCCTTGCTTTCCAAGCTGGAAGGCTGTAAATAGCTCTTGCATCTTCTTGCATCTGGCCTGTGTTTCCCTTGTTGACGGGAAGGTGAAAGGGAACCCTCCTGCAGCAACCCATCAAATTTAGGTTCTACGCACCGTGCCTGCCTGCAGCTCCGTGGGTGCACGTCCAGGCAGGAGGGTATACAGTCTGCATAGATAAGCAGCAATGCAGTTTACCCATGTAGTATCCCCAGGCCTCATATACCCTTATTTATCAACCCGCTTGCTACATCAACCCTTCCCCTTCTATAACCGCGCACACACACAAAGCACACCCAGCAATCTACACAAAAATTCAAATCACACTACCCCAAAGCAAAGCCACTACCCTAACGCATAAAAAGATCCACAATGAAATGAAGAGCGATGCTGCAATTTCGATTCCTGAGCGCTGCCTTGGTTATCAACGCTTACTGTGCCACCACAATCGATGTAAGGAATGGAAAATGTTTATTGAAACTGGATTCGAGGACAATAGACATTATGAGACGAGAGAAAGTGAGCAGGAAGAACACTAAAGCAGTAGCAGCACGTATGCAGTGAATGAATGAACGGACATGCGTGCGGAAATAGCCTTTGACTATAAAGCACTATGCGTCGCGAATGCCTGACATTTGCCAGTTCAGGGTTATCGTCTTTGGGATAGTTTCTATTAGGCGGGCATACCCCAGTCGTAGGATTTGCCAGGGTGCTTGTGGATTTGTCTCCAGTTTTAGTGGGTGGTTTCGTTTTCGAATTGTGGTATGGATTAGTGTGGAGATTTTTTGGGTGTGCTTTGTGTATGCTTTGTGTATTGCCGGTTTGGAATGGTTGATGTAGCAGGCGGGTTGAGAAATCGAGCAACGAGTGGGGAGGGGGGGGGTAGCATGGAGGATGTGACAGTGAGGTCTAGGGTTAAGCGCGGTGCTTCGGATTTTTGCGGTGGTGCTTTGGGCTTGGGTGTCGTGGTCAGACGTGATTTGGTTTTGGATTTCGGCGTGAAATTTGGGAGGCGCTGTGTGAAAAGGCATTGGGGGGATGCGAAATCTGGGGTAAGGGCGGAGTCTATGGGGAAAATCTCGCTAAGGGTCGCTGACCTCAGACTTCGTTCAGGAATGTGAGTGTAAACACCCTGGTGGCGTGGATTTCTCCGTAATTTTGATGTTTTCACATGAGCTTTTGCACCCAGTAGCATAGACGATCAAATGCTTCGGCCACAGAACCTTAAAGCAAAGTCATTATTAATTATGAATAGTGATGGTCACGAGGCAGTAAACCCACACACAAATGTTGAATGGGTCCCAGAGCCTGGGAGGGCTGCTGTTAGGTTAGAGGGATTGTCACCCACCATTCTTTGTGGGTTTTCCAATTGTCAATTGTTTGTCGCTTATCGCCAAAGCCTTGCCTGGGTATGCCCTCGCCCTCGCTTGCCGTCTCTGTCTCTCTCTCTCTCTCTCGCTCACTCGCTCTGTGTCCACTCTCCGCTCGTTTGTCAATCTAGAGCCAGATAATGCCACGCATGTACAGATACGGGCAGATATGTGCGCATGCTGCGTGGGTTTTCAGCTGCTGATTTCCTACCGCAGCCCTGCGCCGAGGCCCAGCGCGCCGCAGCTTCCAGAGCGACTGCAGCGGCCTTCTGGAGAGGAAGCTCCCTTAGCCCCAAAGTTAGAGCCTGGAGCCTCGAAATCTCTCGATTTCTGCCTCTGTGAGGAGCCTCCAGGAGCTTGGGAACAGCCTGTCCGTGGAGGTGAACCCGGATTCGCCAGCTACCAGCAGCGACTTGGCGCTGTGGCAAGTCTGACAAGCTCATGATGCAGAGAGGGTTGGGCCTGTCAAGATATGTGGCCCAAGTCCGTGGTAAGCACAGAGGTGGATACAGTTCGTAGTCCACAACTCCCCAATGGGGTACCTTTGTATGGGAGGATGAAGCAAATTAGTAAAGTTCTAATTGCCGGCGCTTTCGCTTTAGCAGCCGACTAGGCATTCTTCCATCAAGCCATATGCAACCAGGATTTTCTTCCGTGAAATCGACTACTCAAGCAACCAGAGGGAGTGCGAACAACTGACGAAGAAAGGGCGGGCCGACGTCGTAGCACGAACGTCAGCAGCTCCAGGGAGGGTCTGGGCCGAGGCACTCGCCCAAAGCCTGGCACAGGTGCTGCCCTGCTGGGCTCTCCGAATCCGCTCCCACCCCAAAGCAACCCCGTCGCGCTTTGGCCTTGTCTCGTGCTCGGGCTTACGAAAGGGCCGCTCCTGCCGGGTGGAAGGCTTACTGCTAGCAGAGAGAGCTATTCAGAATCACCCTTTCTTCATACCTATCCGGCCTCAGTCTCAGGGGTTGCATGTCCAAAAGAAGCACTCGCGGATTTGGCTTTGCCTGCAGCTCGTCGGACCGTCGTGGTCGATTCTGGCATGAGGTGAGACTGTTGGTAGGTCGCGGCATGTTTTGGAAACAGACAATGTGGGCAGCGATGCTGTTGAGAATGGCAGGTAGAGTGTTTGTGAACATGGTCAAGACGACCGCTGTGTCCCCAGAGAGAGACTCGCGTTTGGCAGACTTTTGTTTCACAAGAGCTTCGAGTATTCGAGTGCTTGTGGGGTGCTTCTCGTCATGGCTCTTTGCCGAAAGCCCAACCTCAACGACTCCTTGGCTAACACATAAGGAAATGCAGCTTTAGAAGCGCGTGAAGAGCGGGTTCTCATTCAATCCGAGTTGAGGGAGGCCTTGGCGTGGCCGAGGTGGATCATTTCCAGGAAGTCGCGGCAACCTCGAGGAGCCTTTCAGCAGCAGGTGCGCAATTTTCAACTGCACGAGTACGATGTCCAAACTTCGTGGTTTGACAAGGACACTTGTCTTTAGCTTGGGTTCATTCCCCATGCTAGCGTTGCAGCCATGCATCCAGCAGTGCTTTTGCGATTCTTGTGCCATGGTCAGGCTACCGGCCCGTCCCACATGTGCCAGTGTCTCGCATCTCCACCATGGATGAGTTTCAGCAGATACTGGAGATGCTAAGACAAGCACTCCGACTGCAGCTGCGCGTTTTAGTGACCTTAGGGCCTGGCCTGAGGGTGATTGAGCGAATGAGCCACCTACAGTTTCATCTTGCCAGGCCTGCCCTGAAAGCCCCAGCTTTTGAAGATACCTTAGGTCTGCAAGGATTAAACAACTTTCACCATATAGCCGAAGTGCTGTGCTCACTGATTCCGCATCTCATAGAAGCCTCGACACAGCTTCTCTCCAGCTTGCTTTACGTGATTCTGGACCCGAGGCTGGTGCGACGGAGATGCTTTTGATCGGTGGCAACGACATACGCGAGCGGCAGGACCGAGAGATCGAAATATTTCAACATACCCAACTAGAAAAGCTGTCGATTGGCTCTTTACCAATCTGTTCGGCTGCTTTGCTGAACCTTTGATTTAGCTTGGATTCGACTTTGAGCTAGGCTTCCAGTACAGAGTGGAAATGACGCGAGGGGTTTGGAAGGGGGCTCTAAATGTATTTAGGTCTCCAGAGCCCGCCCGCCCGCCCTCCCGGCCCCACCCCCGCCCGCCCGCCCTCCCGCCCACCCACCCCCAGGCAGGCATGCATTCATGCATACATCAGCGCACGCATGCACGCGTACATGCAGAACATGGATGTGCTCTGTGTACGTATACTGTACGTATACTGTATGTATGTATGTATGTATGTATGTATGTATGTATACATACATACATACATACATACATACATACATACATAAATATGCACACATAAAATACACATTATGTAAACGTACGTGTCTATATATATAAATAAATAAATAAATAAATATATATATATAAATATAAATAAATAAATAAATATATATATATATATATGTATGTATGTATACTGTGCACAGCGACCGAAACAAGAAGTTGAGCTTATCACTGAATTTCAGTTTCTCAAGGCAATGATTTCTTGTGCAGTGCTGTATACTAACAAATGCAAATATGTGTCCATATCGAAGTGTATATGTGTGTGTATATATGGACATGTATGCACGTAGATATGTAGACAGGTCATAGATGAATATGTATGTGTTCACATAGTTGTATGCGTATGGGTATGTCGATGCAGCTGTACATGTGCACATTAGACGGAAGCTTCGTTCTCGTGCTGCATAAGTTGATGCAACTTTTCCAACCTTTTGCCGGTCCACCTCGTTTGAACAGAGAGTAGGGTCTTCTTGCTTGTAGAAGGTGTCCTAACTGTTAAGCAGCGTAGAGTTTAGGCACCCTCGGCAGGAGCGAGGCGAGCTGTTATACAGTGCCTTGACTCCTTCTCGGCTTACGGCTTTGGGACGGGACCTGGGGCTTGCCTCGGAATCCATTGCGTTAACCGTGCCCAGCACTGAACAGTCGGAAACCATTGACGCTGAGCCCTTGATTGCAGGTGCCTTGGGTTTGATGAAAGTTCATCCATGGCAAACTCGAAGTGTTGAAGGTGAGGGATTCTGTCGGAGTTGATGGAGACATTGCTGCCGAGTTCGCGTTTTGCGGTTGTTTACATCATGGGTCAACGAACCGGGTGGACAGGATGAAGTCTCGTGTCGGAAAATGACGCTGCCCTTGTCTGGAGGTAGTGTCGCCGAGCTTCTCCAGGCAACGTCCGCGCTTGTCGTGACGGGGTAGAGCTGCTTTTGGTATGTTTGGGTTCGATGTTGTCGGTGGTCCCCTTGACCTGTTCCCTCAGCGGGCACCGTCGTGCTCCCGTCTGTTCCGGTCCTCATGTATTCTGCTGTGATCATCTTGTCGCGTTCTGCTGTTGATTACGTTCTGGTCTGCTGGAACACAACCCCTCCAACTCCAATGATGCTTCGTACTACGTACTATACAACACTGCCACTACCACTGCCACCGCAACATCAACTGCTGCTGCTACTGCTACTGCTACTGCTGTTTCTACTGCTGCTGCTGCTGCTGCTGCTGCTGCTGCTTCTGCTACTTCTACTGCTACTGCCAGCGCCACTGCCACCATTGCCTATTACTAGTCTTATTCCCACTGATACTCATTTTTGCTGCAGCTACGTCTAGTGCTGCTGCTGCTGCTGCTGCTGCTGCTGCTGCTGCTATTGCTACTGCTGCCGCCAGGACAGCTTTCATTGCAGTTGTCATTAGTTTTAATTCGTTTTGCTACTGCTGCTACTGCTGCTGCTATTGCCAGTGCTGCTACTACCACTTGTATAGTATTAATGCTAAGCGGAACCGAATCCCAATAGTAATGACACTCGAACCTTGTTGGCAACACTAATTCGTAACGCGCACAAACAACAAATGAAATACACACTCTTCGCTGGGAGCAATTTCGTCTTCGAGTCAACTTTTCCGAGGAGAAAGATGGTTTTGGACCAAAAAACCCAATTTCGTAGGGAAAACCAAAAAAACATTTTTTGGGAAACTATACGGCCAGACTCCAAAAAAAGTCTTTGTTTGGTTTTCACTAGGAAAAAGTTGGTTTTTCAGCCCAAAACCCACTTATTTTTTAGGAAAAGTTGGTTTTTCAGCCCAAAACCATCTTTTTCCTGGGATAAAGTTGGTTTTCCACCGAACACCAATTCTTTCCTTGGGCAAAAACAATCAATTTTTCTTTTGGGAAATATACGGCCAGACTCCAAAGTCTGGTTTTCCCCAGGCAAAAGGGCTTTCGGTGGAAAAACCAACCTTTTTCCTAGGAGAAAATGGTGTTGGGCAAAAAACCAATTTTTTTCCTAGGCAAAAGTTGGTTTTCGCCGGAAAACCAACTTTTTTCATAGGAAAAGATGGGTTTTGGGCTGAAAAACCCAGTTTTTCCTTAGGGACAAGATGGTTTTGGGCAGGAAAACCAACTTTTTCCTAGGGAAGACAAAAATAACCATCTTTTTGGAGTCTGGCCGCATAGTTTCCCAATTTTTTTTTTTGGTTTTTTGCTTTTCCCTACGAAAAGATTGGTTGAAGAGTACAGTGTTGCCGTTAAGTGCGTGCTCATGTCGAACCTGAACAAGGTGCCTGGCGGTTGGTTTTTGAATGGAAGAGTATAGTGTTGCGGTTGAGTGCGTGCTCACGTCGAACCTGAACGAGTTAACGGGCACTTTTCTTGAAATGTGAGTTTGGTTTTGGCAGGCTTTGAGAGACACGGAATCCGGACCTGCCGGAAAAGCTTTTTTTTTTTTTTAACACGGTAGTTACGATACAAAACGAGGCGGTGGTTCAGGGGGGGGTTACGTTACAGTATATATATATATATATATATATCACTTGTCGTTGCATGAACGTATCTCTGTGGTCATCTCTACCAAATTTGGTCGGATCAGGCAGAGGGTCCTCGCCTGCATGCTGCGGGCATCCGCCTTATAGCTCTGACTGGGCTGCTGGATAGTTCCTCGGCTCGGAAAAGGGGTGCAGGGAAGCATCTTGCACATACATGGCATCACGATGCCACGTGATACAGCAAAATTGCCTATGACTATGATGTATTGCCACCTGCTGCTGCAGTACAGTGTGATATGGCGTGACAGGAATGCAGCACAATGGTAGTATCAGTAATATCACGTATCCTGTAGGACTCCCGAGCATTTTTCGAGCAGGTGCGAGATGGATGAAAAAGCACCACTCGGTTCAGGTGTACCTTGGTCTCCAGTTTGCATGAGTGCGAATGAAATGACTGGTTGATGGAGTGAATGAAGCATGCATGCATGCATGGACGGATGGCTGGAAGGATGGATGGATGGATGTTGCATGTATGCAGGTGTGTATGTGTATTGATGAAGGCTCTCGTGCATGCATGTCTTGTCTAATGTGTGTGTGTGTGTGTAATGTGTGTGTGTGTGTGGATGTGTGTTTGTGCATGAGCCTCAGCCCTGTCTACCCTTTAACCACCTACATACCTGTTTGATGCCTGTCTGCCTGCCTGCTGCGTACTTGTGAAAGAAAGATTGAGGCAGAGAGAGCAGGTTGACCACACTAACTTTCCCCGGGGGAGCAGAGAACGAGTAGCCTACACACTCTTTTGACCTCGGCCCCCTTTGACACGGAGAGGGAAGCAACTCGAGGCCACCGAGAGCATACCATACACCAGAGGGGGATCCTGTGATTTCCAAGCTGTTGTCCACCTAGATTGCAGATGATTGTGTTGCTTCTTTATGTGCCCCATACTCTGCAAAAGTGCCTAGGAGGGTATGACATGCGCTCGGTACCACCTGCACACTGCTCGAAGTGGCCCTGGAGGAAATCATAACTAATGTCATGGTCTAAATCATGGCTAGTTGGTTGGCATTCCACCGGGGAGCAGAGAGCAGAGTAGTGTACTAACAAGCCTCGTTGCCCAGCGAACTGAGGGGAGAAGTTTGTAGGCTGTACCTTTGCTAGTCGTGTTGAGCTGTCGTGGCGGTCAGGGCCTCAGTTTGCTGACTCGGAAGTGCATAAAGGGGGTGTTACTTTCCAGTACGTGCACTGTGGCTTGGGGGGTTGTGGTTGGGGGAAAATGCACTTTCGTGAAGAGGCTGTACAGCTGAGCTCATGGGGGGTAACCCCCATCGAGAAGTTCAAAACCTGCCGGGACCCGCAGGTGCGCGTGCGCGTGCGGGGGGAAGGGTTGGACACACCCTGACCCCCAAGCCTGGTAGAGAGAGAGAGAGAGCAGGTTGAAGTCTTCGCTCCACGCTCACGCAGTAACAGCTCGATTCGAGGCCCCACGTGGCGAGGATGGAACGAGGAGGCCGGGTGTCCCAAGACAATTTTACGACGGGCTCAACAATGAGGAGATCATGTATTGTGATAGCAGACTCAGGTGGACCTGCCCTGCTATGCCTGCTATTCATGTTTCGCTGAGTCGTATAGCTGGAGGTCGCCAGCAAGGTGCTCTTGGAAAAGGTGTTCTGCTCTTAGCTGCTATGGATCTTTGGCTGAGTCCAGGGCTTCCTTTGACGATGTGCCAGGACCTCTAGCTGTTGGTTTGGAGTTCCGGGTGGATTCACTGCCGACGGGCACGGTCAACTTCCCTTCGCATCACGCGAACTTGAACCTGGACTTCTTGGAGTCTCCTTCCATGGGTGAACTGCTGCTGTCTTGAGGCGCCTTGGCTTGGAAGCCGGCCTTGATGTTGAGGCCTTCTACCGATGCTCGTGGGGATTCAGGCTTTATGTCTCTACATGTGTTTGATTGATCTTGATTGTGTTTGCAGGTGGTGTCGCAGTTTTGCTTCAACCCATCCAAGCTGTTGCGCTGGCTGACGCGAATGAACTCTGCCATGGAGGAGCTTGCGCAAGATGCATTGGCCGAACGCGCCAAGTAGGTCACGTTTCTTGGGGCCTTGCCGTCGCCGCACGAAGGGGGCATGTGCACTGGAGGAGCTGCGCGTGTCCTTTGGAAACGGCCGGAGCACCCGACTCTGCGTGGGACTGCCGGGTCCCACGAAGCACAGCAGGCTGAGACGGCTGGTGTTTATTTCGGCCGTTGCGGGTGGCTTGTTGCAGTGCTGGAAACGTAGCGTACTTCTTGACGAAGTGATGTAGCAGGACACTGATATACTGCGACATGTCAGGTCGCGAATTCACTTAGCATCCTGCAATGATGAGACATGGGAGGCGATACTGTTTGTACCGTCTCCATCTCGGTTTCCCACCAGTCTGCTGCATTGAGGGCACTGTTATTGTTATTGTTCCTGTTACTGTTATTGTTACTATTGTGCTAGATCTTATTGTCGTTACTCGTATATCAACTGCCATTATTGTTACTGTTATTCGCATTGTTCTCCCTCCCTCCCTCCCTCCCTCCCTATCTATCTACCTATCTATCTATCTATGACGCATTCATGAAGTAATTGTGTATATATAATTATAATTTTATTTATAAAAATATACACACATATACGATATATGTATAAACATGTGCCCGATTCGTCGAGGTATGCTCCGACATACAAAAGCACGCCCGCGCGCCCGCCTGCCCGGCTGCCTGCCCGGCCGCACTCCCGCCCGCCCGCACGCACGCATGCACGCATGTACGCATGCACTCATGCACGCACACAGGTGATAACAGAATCATGTCAGAGCTCAAACATACTAATCGAGATGACCGATCCATATCGCTGCGCTCAGAACAACCACCAAGCCAGTAGGCACTGAATCGGGCCAAGATGCGACATCGAGCCTTCCACGAATGAAGCTGTTGACGGAAGACTGTCATGCCATGATTCGCATGATGCTCTATGCTTATAGCCACCAGCTGCCGCGATGCGACCCTGGTGTGGTATCTCGTTGGGTTTTCCGCCCGTTCTGGGGGGGCGGACAGACAGACAGACAGACAGACAGACAGACAGACAGACAGACAGACATTCAGGCAGGCAGGCAGGCAGACAGCCAGGCAAGCAGGCACGGCACCACAGACAGACACACAGACGCACAGACACACAGACAGGCACACAGACACACAGACACAGAGAGACAGAGACACAGAGACGCAGAGACCCAGAGACACAGAGACACAGAGACACAGAGACACAGAGACACAGACACAAACACAGACCCAGACCCAGACCCAGA